CGTCCCGTATTTAACCTTGAGAAATCTGGTCACCCTATTTATGGCAGAAAATGGAAATAAACAGAATTCATAACTTTAAACATTTGTAAGTCAGAAGTCAGCATTTTTGAGAACGCATGAAGTAGGATCCTCAAATGTAGTCATTACAGGAAACAAATGTTGTCTCAGAAATGGTTTACTGCCACTTACATTAGACGTTAACAATCAGATTTCACTGCTGTCTATTATGGCTAGTGATTGCTTTGTTGACTCATACCACCGAAAACCTCATATTATGAAGACCAGAGGCAAATGAAATCGGTTTGCAACTTTATAACTAATAAAAACAATACAATACAGCAGCTTCTTTCTTAATACTATTGTGTTAGTGAGATTCATATAAGAAGAATGACTTTCAGGGCTCTCTGATACTTAAAAAAAAAAAAACATATTTTCGTCAGAGGAAAAAAAAAAACAACAACAAAAAAAAAAAGGAAAAACAGCAGCTTTAACTTTATTTGTACCCAACTCAACATCTTTTAAGAAATTGAAATCTTAAATTAAATACTCCAAATTGCAGTATAAAGAGTAACATTCATACCCCTTCAAACCTTATATGAACAAAAGTTTCTACACACTGGAGAAATGTTGCCAGGATCACATTTGTCCTGGTGCAACAGTGCGTATGTCACTGTACGGCCCATAACGGCCAAATATATCCTTCCCCACAACGATAAAGCACAGTCGTTTATCTCCTTTGCAGTCTGACACCTTGCAGGCCATAGGAAGAGGCATGGCTTTGATCTCTCCAAGGCACTTCCATCCTGAAAAAGTGCCGTTTTTATGTTCATGGGAAACATAAATGTAGTAGCATTCCATCTCTGCTACATGTGGATCTTTCCGATCAACGTTCCACGCGATGCCTAATTCTTGTGCGCTTCCAATCCGAGCTAGTTTCACCATTGGCTTCTGGGGCAAGTTATAAGAGGCAGCAATAACTGGAAGCTCTTTGGGAAATGGAGTGTTTGGGAATGGATGGACTTTGGAGTGCCAGTCCTCCTATGAAAGAAAGGTAGAAACTGAAATGTTATGATATAAACTTACTGATGTAGTAGCACATAGAAAATATTAGCATACCCCTTCCAACTGTACTGAAGAACTGACACGGTCCTCTTCCATAACACTTTGATTTTCTTCTGTTCATTAAAGAAAATGACATTAAAACAAGGCTTAAAGAATTGTTTATGTCTTGCATTAACCATAATTTTAGAAAAAAAGAAACTAACAAAAACAAACATGACAAATTCAATGCCATCATACCTTTAATGGCTATAGGTGGTGTGCTTGAGGGTTTTGATTGTTCTGGTTTCGAAGGTTCCAATTTCTGCAAGGCACAAATGTGGAAACCGAACTACTATGAAACAGTCTGAAAATGCACAGCTAGAATGAAAGAAACCCTGAGTGAGAGAATGATGGTGTACCTGAGCCGATGGTTGGGTAACCAGGCTCTCTTCATTCAGTCTGGCTGCTGAACCAGAACAAAAACACACCATGCCCACTAAACAGTCAATACAACAGAGCATTATTTATAACATCATTTGATTTTTATTCAAGATCAAATACCTCTGTCTTCTTCTGTAAGGTCAACAACCTGATTCTTAGACTGCTGAAATGAAAAAAGATGAACAATGGTAATCTATAGTCCCCAGCACAGTCTAAACATGTCATCATGAATCACATGAGCCACATATTACAATACTATAAAAAAACAAATCCTCCAAGAATAAACAAAAGCCAAGTAATTATTAATAATAAGACATTGAAAGAAACGGTTACCAAACTCTGCCAGAACCCTTTTTTTGGTCTTCTCAATGTGGTCATCTCACAATCATTGTCTATTAGTGCAAAAACAATCATTTTGATGTCACAATATAAATGTTTGACATTTTTGAGGTCAGAATAAACAATGATAATAGCAACAAGACCTGCGGAGGATACTGAAGCGTTGTTACTGAAACACCCTCCATTGACTGAATTTCTGTAAAAAAAAAAAAAAGTCCTGAAATCAGAATTCTGCACTCCAACAAGACATTTAAATGAAATAATTTTAATAATAATGCAATAATAAGGAAATAATATACATTTCTGGATATTTAATTGTCCATTCACAAATCCCCAATTTTTACAACTTGACTGCCCAATGCTCACTTAAAATTAAAAACACTAATTTAATAGCACTGATAAAAGAAAATTATCTTTAGCAAATCAAAAAATATTACATCCATTTTTCATACTGTCGATTATAATGTTATGATGCCTAAAGTCACTTGTATAACATTTAAAACAACTCATTTTAATTTTAAGTGTTTTTTCCCCATAAAGTTTCTATTTTAATATTGGCTTAATGATATAGGTCATAATTTTAAGGGGTCCTATTATGCCCCTTTTTACAAGATGTAATATAAATCTCAGGTGTCCCCAGAATGTCAACTTCACATCAACTGTCAAATGCACTCAAGGTTATGTCAAAAACACACAAAGTTCACAAACACATTCGGACGGTTATGTCTGTGAACATAAACAGCGGCATGTGTATCAGTATATTAGATCTGTGAAACAGTGTCTCTTGGACATGGTGATAACACACTACTAACGCAAATCAACCAGGCATCCCTCTTATCGCTCCCTCTTATCTTTTGGAGTTCAGTGCTTACTGATATAGAGAATTGGAGTGGACTTTGCAGATCTTTTTCATGCACAAACAACAACATTACACACTAAAGGAAGTTGAAAATGTAAAAAAACAAAAAAACAAAAACATAATAGGACTCCTTTAATATTGCTGCATCTCTAGCAGATCAAACAAACAGAGCAATGTTTGGGCTGATTTTATTATTAAAAATGTTAATATCTCTTTTTTATTATTATTATTACTACATTTAAATCACTATAAGGCGATGCTCTTGTATTAAGAATTTTTCACATCTCAGATACATTTGGGGACAGAAAAGCCAAGCACCTCCAGTTTCTGTCCATCACACTTGAGTTCTTACAGTGAATCGTGATTGTGGTAATTCAACAATTAAACAGATGGCTAGGATAACAAATAGCTGTAATCAGTGGTTTGAATGAGTATGCTTTGTTGGCCTTGGAACACAAATATTAAGCAGCAATGAACGCCTCTCCAGCGAATCACACTAGTTTATAAGACTGCAACAGCCACACATGAAAGTGAAGAAATGCCACTCGGCATACAGCACCTCAGGGAAAGAAAAGAAATGGAAAGGTGCCAAGACTGGGACCATTGAGACGATTTCACTTTGATCATTCTATTAGAATATCTTCTGATTAAACAGTAAATGGAATATTTTAGTGATTGTCATTCAAACATCAGGCTCGCTGCTTCTGCATCATTTTCAAGTTGAAAGGCATCAGTCTGCAGCATGGTGTACAGATCCACACCAAAATAACACCGAAAGCCCCTTCAAAAGGCCATATTTTACGTAATTGGTGCCACTGATATATTATGAATGAAGTTTGTTATACATCTAGAATACCTGGATATATTGTTTATTAGTTCAGCTGGAGAGATGCATCGCTGTGGCTGCACAGGAGGAGGACTTAAAGGAGGAGGAGACTGTTGAAAAGATTAAAAAAAAAAAAAACAGTGATGAGTTATACATAATTACAATAATAAAAGTCAGCTTCATAAATGTCTAAGTATTATTATTATTATCAAACTTTGGTTCTACAAATAAATCTCATAATCTAGTTCATACCTGAGAAATCCCTAAGGATCTGAACTTTCTGATATATGCAAATATGGCATCTCCCCTTCGTTTTATCTTCCTTACATGAGCCTGCAAACAAACAAACAAAAAAATTATGTAACAGAGAAATTATTTATGGTGGTTATGACATACTGACCCTGCAGGGCGCTACAGTAATATGGATTAGTATATTAATACACATATATTTCAAAATGAAAATCATGGGAGAGGACTAAAAATACAAATGAACTTGGGAAAGCTGGTCACTTACTTCCAGTTTCTTGATTCTGGCATTGTATCTGGGTTCACCATTCACCTCACCGATTCTCTCCATCAGATTCTTCATCTTGTAGTCAGACTGCTCGACTGCATTCACAACCTTATCTGAAATAATCTTTTCAACCTATCAATAAACAGGTTACGAATGGGGTGAGATCATACGCAGTTCTGGAAATAAACACACACATGTGTACAGCTGGTTTGTGCACTATTCAATATTGAATTTAAATTCAACACATTGCAGATTAAGAACATGTAAATAGTCTTAATTTTTTGCATGGTTTGTTTGGCTGCAAGGCCAATCACTTTCTACACTGTAACAGTTCATGGTCCCCAATGACTTCCATAGTATGACCAATGACTTTCATGGTTACTAACATTCTCCAAAATATGTTTTTTTTTCTTTTCTTTTATTCTTTTATGTTACAAAGAAAATCTAAACTCATACAGGTATGGAACAGCTTGTGGGTGAGTAAATGATGACAGAATTTTATTTTTTTGTGTGGACTGTCTTATAGAAAGACAGAACAATAATTTCAACTAAAAAAAATAGTACAATAACGCAATTTCAAAAGTTTCTATGTAATAATTAGGACAGAGTACAGTCAGTAAAAGATCTGACCACACTTAAATCAAACCACATACTGTAAATAAATTAGCTTTAATTATATGGACTATGGTAGAAGAATATGCACATGACGTGACATTTTCCAGAATGCTTTTGACCCTAGATGCCTGTTTATTTTATATTAGCTACCTGAAAAAGGGTGGTGCACATTTTGTGATGCTGTATTGAATTTGAAATCTTTTTGGTTGCGGATTGTTTTGACAGAACTGAACTTAAATCAAAAGAATGTCCATTCATTTGAGGAGAAACACTCCGAATTCAGAGAGTAAATACACATTTACATTAACAGCTCATGAAGTGAAAGACAATGAGTTCTGAATTTTGCCAATCCTGGCGTAAAATTAAAAAGACAGTCCTTCCATTTTAAAAACAAGGAGACAAAGACTTATAAATCCGTTGACATTTAATTAATATTGTTGGAGAAAAACATACAAGGGACGTAAATGACAAACTTGCCTCAGATCGAGGGAGCTTGTTCGCCTTCTGCCCACTGTCTTGAACCAAGTGTAATGTTCCAGAGTCGTCTTCATATCTGGACCTTTTCATACCTGAGCAGTAAAGATACAAAGCTCATTTCATTTCGAATGATCAGCAATTACATTTCATGATGAAAACCAACCAAATCTGAGATGGAATTAAACCATTAGTTCTTTTACCACGCTCAATGTAAACATTTGTACTTCGTTTCAGATTAAACAGAAACCTAGATTCAATCGTAGCCATTGTATTGATCTTTACTAATACAGAAAACTGGCTTGAAGCATGTCATCGAAGACAATCCTGTGCTTTTTATACATAAACACATCTACACTTAATGAATCAAACAACCCGGAAGTGATGTGCTTTAACAGTTTACGGCAACAACAAGCTCTCTGGTTACAAGCAATGATAAATGGCCTTTCTTCTGAAACGCAAGCTACATTCGACGATGATGAACCAGACGCCACTAACAATTTAAACAATGAAAAGTTTAAGCAAGGTAACGTTACAATCCATATTGCTTACTAAATCAGTACGTTTTCTATCACCACACAAGCATGCATAACGCGTTTTGAAAACCCACTGACTCTGGCGCTTGCCATACAACGCGCGTAACAAATTCCAAACGGAGCCCGCGAATTCTAATGTCTGACGCCGTTTGCTTTGCGTCCTCCCAACAAAACGAAAGACATTTTCAAAAACAACCCACCTGCACTGCTTTCCAATTTAAACAGAGTGCCGAGCGCGTCCTAACTACTGATCAGCTTAGTATGTACCGGTATTGTCCCTACAGGGGATTTCCTGTTTCTTTAAATATGTCCCGCCACGAAACAAAGGTAGTGGGTAACAATGCCCGCTTTGTGAATGAATGGTTCTTTTGAGTCGAATCTTTTCAGTGAATTAGCTGAACCGGTTCACAAAACTGATCTGAACGATTCGTTCTCGAATGGGACTAATACTATTATTTATCATGTCTATGGGACTAATAATAACGTATCGGTCAGAGCGGTTCTCGGATCATCAGCTCTCTGACTCATTGAACTAAGAACCGTCATCCATTCGTAATTAACTGAGAATCGGAGTGAGCAGATAGTGGGGAACATTGATTCGGAGTAATCGAGGATTTCACTGATGGAGCGACAAATGATCAAGCCGAATAATAGAAATTTACCCAAGATGATTGTATGACAGTTTTATTTGTTGTTATTTGTATAAGTTAAATTCAAACGTCTTTGTAAAAAATAGTATTGTACTTTAAATGCAAACAAAATTTAGTTTATACAATAACACATTTTTATTAATTAATTTATTCATTCTGAACATTGTATGTAGAGAACATATTTCGCGTGTTGACACGTCTGTAAAGAATAACTGAGTCACTGATTCTTTGGTTCTTTGAAACGAACTGTTCGAAATGCGAATAGATGCGCAGTGCCAATAATGTTTTTTTTCCTTCTCACGCTCGTATCTCTTTTCACCATTTGCTGGTTATTTATTTATAAGTTTTACTCAACTAGCATGGTTTCGTGTAGAATAATGAAGGTCGTCTCTTATTTTTTTCTCTAAATTTTAGCTGTTTGTTTTTTTTTAATCTACATTAACTGTTCTCAGTTTGGTCGGACACGTAACATATCGAGTAGGCCTAACGTTACTACAAAAGCTCATAAACACATGGCAATGAACCCAATGGGCTCTACGCACGGTCACTTCCACGTTTTTTCCTCTGGATGCTTATTTACATCCGCTGCTGCGCCGGAAGCCATTGTTCCTAACGAAGAGCTTTCAAAATGACAGAGGAGAAGAAGACTTTTCAGTTTACAAGAACTTCTCCGGATTACTGTAAATGTTGTTCAACGTGTTGCGAGTCTGTCAGCTTTCACACCAAAACGGAGAAGGACATTTTCAAGCGTTTCAAGTTACATCGACAACTTTAGGGTGAGTATTGTGCTGTCATCTTCTAGCAAATACCAAGAATTCATTCATATGAATGTTTACAGGGCTATAGTAAATGCCTAGTGGGCAAACTGACGGAATATATTTGGCCAATATCTCGCCTTAGATGATACTTCCAATATCTCCCTTACTGTCCGTACAGGACACAAATATTTTGATGAAAAAATTACTGCAATTCACCAAAAAGTTTTTTTTCATGTTCCAAAGGTTGTAGTACATTACAAGATACAAGACTGACATACTACAGGTGAGAGTTTGCCAAAAACTCCCTTCATACAGGCTACAGTATTGTCTAAAGTGAGATATTGGCGAAATGTATTCAGTTTGCCAACTAGGCATTTACTGTAGCCCTGTAAACATTAATCTGAATGATTTATTGGACTTCGTTTTGTACTGTACAGTCCCTAAAGCAGCCTAAGCGAATATCAAACTTATGTTACTGCGCTGGAGAAGCGGCTCTTAAGCGCTAAGATCAATTGTTATCGAGAAACGCAGGCCAGAGATGTCAAAGTTGCTATGGAGTCCGTTTGACCCCAGACGTTACAGGAAAGGTTATATAGGCTACTACATGATCCAACTTCAACTTTTATGATTTTTTTCTCGTGTATTTAATGTACTGTGTCACCTATTGCTCAAACAACTTATTTTCTGAGAAACAGGAAAGTGTCTAACTGTCTTATGTTTGGTCTTTTGCTCACAGCAAAAAAACACAACCTCTGATTGAGATAACCTTAAATATTAAATATGTATGAACATTTAGCTGTTCTTAAAAATATCTCATATTCTTCAAAATAATTAAAGACTGACATATTGTGAAGAGAGGCTGATGAGATTTAGATTTAGTTTCCTTTCCACTTAATACTTTTCTTATCATAAACAAACAGTACTAAATATTTCAATAAATAACTACTAAGCCCACTGTAAAAACTTTTTATTTATTTTAGTATTGTGATTTAATTATTTTACCTTGATCTCCTGGCTCCATTTCTTCTGTCCCATTTTGATGGGATCCCCATCCCACACCTTCTTCTGCGGCCAGATGTACTCTTTCTCTTAGGTCTTTGCATTTTTTCGTCCAGATCTGCCATAACCAGTGACGGTTTTTTGGTGTGTCATCATTAAATAAATCTATGGCAAGCTGGGACCATACCTCTGAGGAATATTCAGTGTTTCTATTCAAAACATCAGCTTTCTGCAGCTTGTTTATTAGAGAATTGATCCCTCCTTCCTTTTTCCATTGATCTGATCTTACAAGTTTTTTGCCTTTTTTATATCTCCCCATTATACAGTGTGAGAGATCCAAGTCTGACTATGCCGATCTGGTCTTACTAGATTGTCCATCAGAGAAATGAAATCTTGGATTGTCTGTGGTCATTATTTCATCTGACCAGCACCTTACTGTTTCACAACATTGTCCTGTGAAAATTCGCCTGACTGTGAGAAAGTATGTGTTATCACTATGTTTTGAAAATGTTCTCTGAGTTGACATAGACGCTTCAACCTTGTGTGTGTGTGTGTGTGTGAGAGAGGCTTTGGAGGAGGAGAGGATGGCTCCTGTTAGGTTAACACCTGGCACCTCTGAAAGGTGTACTCATGGCTGTAGCCAGGGTTTGGGGTGAGGTTAAGAATTATGCTATTATAACAGATCTCTCACGGATGAAGGCTGCGCGTCCACGCCTTCACTCACAGCTCTCTCAAGCCTCGTTCACTCCCCAGCGTTTCGAAGCGATTGTTTTAATTCCACGGACTCTAAACATACTTGCAAACTGTATAAACTGAATTACACATGCAGAATTGACCTAGGTCCGGTGACCTAGCTGGTTATACGGGCATGGTTGTACTGACCATATTAAGAAGACAAGTCACGTAGAGATGTTGACCTGTGAAATGTTTGGGCCATTTTGTGCTCAAAGTGGAATTGCTACTGTCACATTGATAATCTGTTGAGATATGTTGTGAACTGTAGGCCTATGTCCTTGTGTGGATATTTTAAAAGTCTATCTTCACCTTAAAGGGATAGTTCACCCAAAAATGAAAATTACCCCATGATTTACTCACCTTCAAGCCATCCTAGGTGTATATGACATTCTTCTTCGTATGACAGCGGAAGTTAGAGATTAAGGTTTATAAAGTTGTAAATATGGATATTTTTCTTACACAAACGCATCGCGTCGCTTCAGAAGGCCTTTATTAACCCCCGGAGCCGTGTGGACTTCTTTTATAATGGATTGGTTCAATTTTTTGGACTTCAAATTTTGGGCTACCATCCACTCCCATTATAAAGCTTGGAAGAGCCAGGAGTTTTTTTTTATATAACTCCGATTGTATTCATCTGAAAGAAGAAAGTCATATACATCTAGGTTGGCTTGAGGGTAAGTAAATCATAGGGTAATTTAGATTTTTGGGTGAACTAACCCTTTAACCAATCTGAAGCACATAACTGCTTAGAAAATATGTAATTTAGTTTTATCTGTTAGCATTAATACTGGTGTATCGCATATGTAAACCGGATGGCCTACAAACTCCTCGAGAGCTTTTGCTACAGTGCAAGTTGTAAAATCTTTATTTGACCCTACAGAACATACTACAACTATGTAATCTGTAACCTTAAATATTAAAAATGTATGAACATTAAACTGTTTTTAAAAAAATAGTCCATATACTGGTATAACATTTATGTGTTTTAACTGCCCAATAACAAATTGTGATATTCTGTACTGTACTTTTGCCTCTTATTATTTTTTTTTTATCCTAAATTTTTTTTTAACTCCACAGCAAGCAGAGCAAATTTTCTAACTCATAGGTTTCTTTTAAGAAATTAAGATCCTTGGATCCTTCAATCCTCCTGTTTTCAATGTGAATATCAAGGTTCACATGGCTCTTATCTGAGGCCGGTGGTAACTTTCCATTGTTATGCATACTTTGTTTGACGAGAGGGGGGACGTATAAATTTCTTCTGGGAAAGACGGGCACAGTCAGTGTATTGGAGCTGAATGCGTAGTGACATGGGCTGGACGATTTGAATGACCAGATCAGTTAATGCCAAAGAGAGCAAAATGGAGCAACAGAGACGATCATGCACTGTAAAAAATGGTAAGAGCTATCTACTGAAAAAAAAATGATGGTAACAATATTACACGTAATATTTTTGAGTAGTTTTTAAGGCTTGATTTTTTTTAATGGAATCTACCTGAATAAATAATGTAAAATCTCCTAAATTATTTAATCTATGACACAATGAATTTATTATTAGTGGAATGTGCTCATTTATTTTAAGTTGATTCTCAAAAGTCTGTGATGAGTCTTTTTGTATTTGACTTCGAGTTATTTTGTACAATTAAAAGACTATACAGCGAGACTAGTATTGGCAAAGCATTTACTGCACTAGCAT